ATTATCGACAACGTGAGCGTGTCGGTGCACATATTACCATGTCCGTCGTTCAAAAAGTTCATGGACACCACGCAAAGCCCGACCGGCGAGATCGCGTTGACGGTGCAACTCATCTCGACCTTCGTCGTCAATTCCGTCACGGCCGGTGCCTGCAGTCTCGCGGCGGTGTTCGCGATGCACGCGTGTGGCCAGTTGAACGTACTGATGCGGTGGCTAGACCGGTTGGACGATCAAAAGCAGCAAGACACAGTGCAACGTCGATTGGCGATCATCGTCGAGCACCATCTAAGAGTGTTAAAGTAATATCATAAATTTAAGAAGTTGATATTCCCTTAATGTATCAAGAATAACATTTTTTATATTTTGACGACTCTGATTTTCATGCCAACAATTTATCAGATTCATCTTATCCCCCCTCTGTCTCTTCTCTCAGTAATATAATTCCAGTTCCAAAAAAATTATATGTACATGTAGAACTACGATTGTGTAATTTACATCATTTACAGCTTCGTGGCGCAGATGGAAGCACTTTTAAATCAGATATGTTTTGTGGAATTGCTAGGATGTACGTTTAACTTATGTATGATCGGATATTATGTTCTTACGGTATGCTAAAAAGTTAAAAAGGTGAATATGTAATTAAGACATACCTCGGCATTGACTTTTCATTTTAAAATAAGTTACAGTACGTAAGACGCAATGACAAAATGCAAAAAAATAATTAATCATTGCATCAGAAAAAGATTGCATTTATCTCTTTCTCTCTCTCTCTCATATTTTTTAAAATTGTAATATTCTTAATAATAATAAAATAATAAATTATAAATTATCGTAACACATTATTTAAAAATTTTCAGGGATGGAACGTAATGGAGAAAAGAACGTCAGTATGTTGTATGATCATATATGTATCCATGGCTTTCAACATTTTTATATTCTGTTACATTGGTGAGACAGTCACAGAACAGGTAAAATCGCGAAACTAAAATTTTACGGCGTAATAGTCGCGCGTATTTATGAATTTAAAAATCCAAATATATTCGAATTGTTTACATCTTCTTAATATTATAAAATAAATAATTTAATAGTGTAAACAAGTAGGTGAAACGGCTTACAAGACTAACTGGTATCGTTTGCCACATAAAACGGCTCGTGGTCTGATTTTAATTATCTCCCGGTCGAGTACCGTGATTAAATTAACTGCAGGGAAATTAATTCATCTTTCTATTGCAACTTTTGGTGATGTGAGTGTACAAAAATGTATGTTACGTTTTTTTTTTTTTACAGCCAAATGCACTTACGAAACATTTCAGGTGATGAGAACCTCCATGATATATCTAAACATGCTCCGGACCATGACAGTTAATGCTTAGAGAATAATAGTTACACAATTTTGTACAAAGAGCTAGCAAATTTTCTAGTTATCACCATAACTTCGTATTATAATCGAATAATTGTACAAATTATTAATAAAATACGAAATATCTATTATTTAGAACACCACCATTTTTTAATTCAAAAAATAAAATAAATAAAAATTAGATAAAAATAAAGAAAAGAGGAGCAACCTTCAGTGACCTTCATCTTGACATATGTTGTCACGATCATGACTCTGAACAATTCAAATGATTTTAGTCGTTAATCATGATTCGTTAAAAAGTTATTAACAAAATAAGTTTTTATAAATATTGTAGAACGTAATTTTTTAATACTTTATATACATTTAAAATATTGTTTCGTATGGAAGAACTGTCTAGGAGAATTGAAAGAATGCACACTGAGTATGTATTTATGGCTTGAATATTACTCTCTTATGGTATGCTAAAGATAAATTTTCTTTCGTATTACAAATGACATAATTGAGATGTCGTCAAAACAAATTAATTTCATTTTTGTATAAAAAATGAATTAATTTTTCAGAACTGGGGTGCATTCAATGCAGTAAAAATATTTTCATATCTTGGTGTGTACATATAGTACATATCGATGAGTTTTAATATACATATTTATATTTTGTTACATCTGTAAGATTCTGACGAAACAGGTAATAATTCCAAAATAAGAAAATTTTTTCGATGTTTGAAAATTCTCTGAACATGATTATATACAAAATATAACGTTATTTTATTACATAAATATAAAAATATTGATTGTTTAATTTATATTTTATTATTATATTTTTCAAGAAATAACATATTTATGTGTCCATATCTAAAAATCTATTCTTTAAATCTTTTCTCTTTTACCCCATTAACGTTAGACGTTTGTTGGATACTTCATGAAATTTGTTATTATCTTTATTTAATCATTTATTAGTGCAAAACTGTTGGAGAAATAGCATATATGACCAACTGGTATAAATTGCCTCGCAAAACGGTATTCGGTTTTATATTGATAATCAAGCTATCATTAAGATAATGGCAGGAAAATATTTCGGTTATCCATAGTAACTTTTGTAAGTAACAACATATGACACAGTTATTAATAGCATCAAACAAAATTTTTTCAAAATTTGTTTTCTTGTCATTTATATATTATTATAATAATTCTATACGTTGACTTGACTATTTAGTAATATGCTACGTCAAAGCAAATAAAACCAATTGTACATTTATTTCATTTCTATCAAAAACAAGACATTTTATTACAGATATTCAAAACTTCCAGGACATGTTTAAATTTTTTGCGAATAATAAACATTACATAAAATATAGAGAAGAATAGTAAGATATAATATACAAACACGAAATATTTTCTAGACAGAATAGATGTTAAATAAATTAATAATAATTATGATATTAGGTTTTTCTACAATTAAGGGTTACCCATCCATTAAAAATATATAAATATATATCCCTAACGATTTTCCCGATTAATTATTAAGTATATACACGAAATTTTTTTTTAATTTACCTTGCAAATCATGTTAATTGTGGGACAATATAGTATTCAGACAAATTTTACTGTGCACTACAACAAATTGTACTGTAAAATGAAAAATCTTATTGTAATGCACAGTAAAATTTGTCTAAATACTATATTGTCCCACAATTAACATGATTTGCAGGGTAAATTAAAAAAAAATTCTCTCCATGTATGTATAAATATCTCTAACTATTTTCCCTAAAATCAAAACTCAATACCTTGTAAAACTTGCATCCACAAAATTGCTTCCATATTATATTCCTTTCTGACGGAAAAATTCAGAAATTCATTGTCACTTTCACAATATCTTCATACGCTTCACAAAACGTCTCCTGTTAAACTGACAAGCAGTGACAGTAGTCAGACTGTAGCTCATTGTAAAACAGATATAGAAGATACGTACACATATATACTCGACGTCTCACATGTACATAATTTATACAGTATAGTGTGCGCATCTCTTCCATCTATTTTACGGGGTGAGTCTCTCACTACTAATAAAGGCTTTGTGTAAGGAACGATTGTCGATTATATACGCGTGCGCTTTTCACAACATCACCGACCTGTCGTTCTACCAAACTTCTCTAAAAGTTGGCGCAGGCGTATTTCTAAATACGTGTTCTAGCTGAAGCTCTAGTCTGTAACTCTAGACGATCATTGCAGCAGTACATCGGTCGCTCCTTTGCAAAAACGATCATGAGTGATTCGAAACGCATCCTAACAAATTTCCAAAACATCAATGACTATAGTATACAATTAAATCGATGGTTTCTCATATCGATCGGTGCTTGGCCGCAAGTAAGCGCGCCGAGTAGAGTAAAAAAGATTATAGTGTCGATGCAAATTTTCATTTTTTCGACCGTGGTGGCGGTCATTATGCTACCGTGCCTATTGTACGTGTTCTTTGAGAAAGTAGACATTAAGATGAAACTAGGCGCCGTCGTTCCGCTAATGCACAGAGTCATGGGATCCATAAATTACTGGGTATTACTTGCGCGTAACAAAGACATTCAGTATTGTATAAGGCATATGGAGACGGACTGGCAACGCGTTCAGAAACTTGACGACCGCGAGGTGATGCTGCGATACGCCAAGATCGGCCGTTCCATAACCGGATTCTGCGCAATATTCATGCACAGTGGTACGCTCCTCTTTTCCGTGGTCAAAGCGATAAAAACTACGACCTTTACCGTCGGCAATCAAACCTTCACGATGTATCCGATGACATGTCCGGCATACAGCAAGATCATCGACGTGAGATTCAGCCCTACGAACGAGATCCTGCTGAGTGTGCAATTGATGTCGACGCTTATAGTGAGCTCCTCTACGGTAGCTATTTGCGGTCTCGCCGCTGTCTTCGCGATGCACGCCTGCGGTCAACTGAACGTATTGCATTCGTGGTTAAACGAGCTTACCGAGGAAAAGAAAAATCATGTAATAGAACGAAAACTCGCTACTATTGTGCAACATCATTGGAGAGTTCTCAGGTATTTTACTTAGATATTGAGCTTCGATTGCAGTTTGTGCAAGTTCATCTTTTCATGGGATGATAAAGATAAGTAAACATTTTCATTGCATTGCATTGCACAAACTAATATCTTTCTCTAAATTTAAAATATAATGCGATTCATAAACATAAATATACATAAAAGAAAAGACAAGAAAGAAAGAATGCAAATATTTTGTTTAAACTCATTTAAATAATTTATAACTCATTAAAATTCAAGATAAATACGTATACGAACACATACACATAAAATTTAAAATAGATTTCAAAGAAAATATTCTATCTGAGTACATTATAATTATATAGATATGTTTCAGTTTTGTCGTACAAATAGAGAGTATCATGCATAAAGCCTGTCTAGGAGAATTGATGGGATGCACGATGTGTATGTGTTTACTTGGATATTATTCTGTTCTGGTATGTTAAATAGATAAATAAAACTTTCTTTCGTATTAAAAATTACATAATTGATATCACATAAATAAATTAATCTTGTTTTCCCGCAGAAAATAAGAATCTTAATTGATTTTCCAGAACTGGGGTGCATTCGATGCAGTAAAAATATTTTCATACATGGGTGGAATTATAACGATGAGTTTCAATATATTTATATTTTGTTACATCGGTGAGGTTCTCACGGAACAGGTAATACCTCGAAATAAAAAAGATTTTTTAGATGTTTGAGAATTCTCTCATCCTTGATTAATATACGAAATACGTTACCTCATCAGTTTCATTACACAAGTATAAAAATATTAAATGTTTGATTATTTACATTCTATTATCACATTTTTCAAGAACATTTTATTTCTGAAATAAAATGTTCACATATCTAAAATATTCTTAAAATATTTTATTTCAGAAATAACATGTTCACATATCTAAAAAATGTTTTTTAATACCTCTTTTTCATCACCATTAGATGTTTGGACACTTCATGAAATTTGTAAATATCTTTATATATTTATCATATATTTACTAGTGCAAAAATGTTGGGGAAGTAGCATATATGACCAACTGGTATAAACTGCCTCGCAAAACGGCGCTTGGTTTTGTTTTGATAATCATGCAATCAAGTTACATCATTAAAATAACGGCAGGAAAAATATTTCGGTTATCCATAGCAACCTTTGGCGACGTAAGTAACACGTACGACACAGTTATTAATAGAACCGAATAAAATTTTATCAAAATTTGTTTTTCTATCGTTTGTTATAATAATTCTATATAATCTTGGCACTTGATAATTTAGTTATACGTAATGTGTGCTGCGAATACATTATAATATTAGAAATCTTGTTATTGCAGATAGTCAAAACTTCCTTGGCATATTTAAATTTTTTGAGAACAATGACTGCATAAATATATTATAAAGAAACAATAATTTTTATATGACACACATGGACTATTTTCACTATTTTCTAGATAGAATAGATGTTGAATAAACGGGATTAATAACAATCATGGTATAACAGGATTTTCTGCGATTAGGTTCTTAAAAGCGCGAATCCCTGACGATTTTCCCTGAGATTAAAGCTCACTACCTTATAAAAATTGCATCCACAAAAAAAGTACTCTCATATTCCTGCCCGAACGCGACCACTTGCGAAACTGAGAAGACAAAACATCTGCTAGGAAAAAAAAATCGATCCGATATGCATACGAAACTCTCAATAAAAAAGCACCAAGCTTACATTGTAAGCGTTCGTCAAACTTCATTAAAAGTTGGCGCACGCGCGTAATCAAGTAGAACCCTTCCCAGAACACTGTCCAGTGGCAGTGCGTCAGGCATCTCCACGAAGCGAATATGACGGACCCGAAAGGTGATTTGAGAAATGTCGATTTCAAGCGCATCAACAATTATAGTCTACAAATCAACCGATGGTGCCTCAAGCCGATAGGCGCTTGGCCCATGACGAGCACGTCGAGCACGTTAGAGAAAATTACCGCGATAGTCAAAATTATCGTTTGTTCGCTTACAATAGCAACCGTTACGGTGCCGTGTATATTGTACATGCTACTGGAGAATCAAGCCTTCACGGCGAAGCTGGGCGCCCTCGGGCCGTTGCTTCACAGGATTATGGGCTCGGTAAGCTATTGGATGTTGCTCAGTCGCACCCACGACATTCGTAACTGCATACAGCACATGGAGACGGATTGGCGGCTCATACAGAGGCTGGGGGACCGCGAGACTATGCTGCAGTACGCCAAATTCGGACGTTTCCTCGCCGGCCTCAGCACGGCGATCATGCAGGGCGGTCAGCTGCTGTTCGGCACCGCGAGAGCGATAAAAACCACGACCATCACGGTCGGCAACGAGACCTTCAAGACGCATCCGATGACGTGTCCGGCGTACAGCAGGATCATCGACACCAGATTCAGCCCTATAAACGAAATCATGCTAGCTATACAATTCGTGTCGGCATTCGTGGTGAGTTCCGCGGTGGTGAGCGTTTGCAGCTTCGCTGGTGTTTTCGCGATGCACGCCTGCGGCCAGCTCAACGTGCTGTATACGTGGCTGAACGAACTCGTTCTTGATTTTGAGACGAAGGGAAGTCAATCGGTTGAGCAAAAATTGGCTACTATTGTGGAGCATCACTTGAGGGTCTTAAGGTACTCTACTTTCTTAAGCCGTATTTCTTGGATGTACTTCGCGTGAATTTTCTTTACCTACGGCACGGTTTAGAAATTTTTTTTACACACATAAATACATTAGAGGTGTGCGAATAGTTCGAATTCGAATCAAATTAAGTCGAATCACAGTGGATTCGATTTAAATTCGTTTTCGAATCTGTAAGATTCAAAATCGAATAGTTCGAGAATCAACAATGGTTCGATTTCGAATCGGTCACTTATTTTATTTGCTTCATTTATATCTCCTGCGCGATCAATTATTTTCATCTAATAAATAAATATTTTTGATGTATGTAACGTATCCATATAAATTAATATAGAAAATATTCGAAAGCATTCGAACTATTCGTGTATACACATATTATTAATTACATATTTTCTAGTTCAAAATGTCACATACGATCATGATCCTTTATAAGGAGATGTACATCGAAAACAGATCTTCAGTTTCTTTAAATTGCGTAAAGTAATGTAATTCATAAATTCTCATATTTATTACGTTTAAATTAACACGTAATGTAAATCTGGGAAAATTTGATTCAAATATTCGATTCGATTTCGAACATGTTAAGGTCTTTACACATAAAATCCCGTAAGGCCCTAAGACGTAAGCGTAAGAAAATCGACCAATCCCAATTGAGTATTAGGTTGTCCGTAACCCCTCCACTCAATTGGGATTGGTCGATTTTCTTATGCTTACGTCTTACGGCTTTACGGGATTTTATGTGTGAAGGCCTTTATCAAAAATTCGATTTGATTCGATTCGACCATGCAAATGCTTGATTCGCACCTCTAAAACACCTCTAAAACACATTTTATAAAAAGTAAAATATATTGTCATTTGTAAAGTATGTAAATATGTTCAATTTGCGAAATATTTTATGTAATGAAGGATCTACACTTAAACCTACCGCAATTATACAAATATATTGTAGTTTTATAGCACGTGTGGAAAGCATTATGCATAAAGTCTGCCTCGTAATATTGATGGGTTGCACGCTAAACATGTGCTTACTTGGATATTATGCGATTATAGTATGATCAAGAGAAATATATTACTATAATAAAGCTGTCTTCACATATATTTCTTTCTTAATTATAAAAAAATTATGTCATCATTAAAAGTATAATTTAATAATATAGTACTAAAAAATAGAAATTGCTAGAATTATTTTTATTCTTTATGAATTAACTTGTTAAATTAATTTTCCAGAATTGGGGAGCTTTTGATACAGCAAAAATATTGTCGTATATTCTTTTGTATACTTCCATGGGTTTTAATATATTTATTTTTTGTTATATCGGTGAGATTTTGACAGAACAGGTAATCTTGAGATTAAAGTAATTTTTTTCAGAAATATCTGGAAACTATTCAAATCTGTTTGTCAAATACAAAAACAAAATAATTATATTTAAATAACAATGCTGCTTGTAACTTTTTGAGAACTCAGATTTGTAGATGCTTATAAAAATTTAAAAACTTCTATATATATTTATTAGTGCAAAAATGTCGGAGAAATGGTATACATGACTAACTGGTATAAATTACCGCACAAAACAGCTCTTTGCCTCATTTTAATAATAATACGATCAAGTAACGTAATCAAGATGACTGCAGGCAAATTAGTTCATTTGTCTATTGCAACTTTTGGCGATGTAAGTAAATTATTCATAGCAAGTTAATAATTTATATTAATATTATAATTATTCTTTAATAATAATCTCTGATTTAATAAATCTAAAATTTAAGTCCCATTTATTTCAATTATTCCAATTATATTCAACTGAAATGTTGCAAAATTTCATACACGAAATCGCATATTGTCAATCGAAACAAAAAATTTTGCTCTGTTTCAGGTAGTTAAAACTTCCATGGCTTATTTGAATATTTTACGAACAATGACTACGTAAAATCTTAGTTAGCAATGTGGTTAATTAGAAAAGCAATTATGTAGCAAGCTAGAAAGTTAGACAAGATATTTTGTATAGAATAGACGAAATATTTTCTGGAGAGTAGGATATTAACACTACCTAAATATAATTAACGTTTATGATACATACACAGATTTTTTACGATTAAATCTTTCAAAAATTTAGCAAAAATTCCTTACCTTTATCTAATTACAGTTCAATACCTTACAAAAATTTGTACTTCCACAAAAGTATTTCCATATCCCTGAACACGATCTCCTGTCAGACTGGCCGAACAAATAATCCGCTGCTAGCAATTATTGATCGAATGTGCAAGCCTTTTCTCTCAAGGGACAAAAAAATACGTCAATATGAGCTTTCCAAACATTCTTAGAAGTTGGCGCATGCGCCTATTCAAATACAATCCTCGCGACCGCACGCGAGCTGTTCATCGCGACAGTACGGCGGTCGCGTCCATGAAGTGCTGTCTTGATCATGACGAGGTCGAGGTCCGCGTCCAGAAGTAATGTCCTTGAAAATCACACTGATTACAGTCTTCAGCTAAATCGATGGTACCTCATACCGATTGGCGCTTGGCCACGAATGAACAACTCAAACGTAGCGTGCAATGTACTCGTGCTGATACACATTTTCATTTGTCTGATCATGATGACAGTAATCATGATACCGTGCACATTATTCGTAATATTCGAGAAAGCGAACATCAAATTGAAATTAAGCGCCATCGGTCCGCTGCTCTACAGACTTATGGGCTCGGTGAATTATTGGATGCTTCTCAAACGTAGCAGCGACATTCGTAAATTGATACGGCACATGGAGGAAGATTGGAAGATCATACATAGGATCGAGGATCGCGAAGTGATGCTGCAGTACGCCAAGTTCGGCCGCTCCGTCGCCGGAATCTGTGGGGTAATCATGCACGGTGGGGCGTTTCTGTTTAGCATAGCCAGGGCAATAAAGACCGTGCCCATCACCGTTGGCAACAAGACCCTTCGGATGCATCCGATGACGTGTCCGATCTACAGCCAGATCATCGATATAAGATTCAGTCCTGTGAATGAGATCGCGTTGATCATGCAGTTCCTGTCGACGTTCATAGTAAGTTCATCCACCGTCGGCGCTTGCAGTCTGGCGGCCGTCTTCGCGATGCACGCGTGCGGTCAATTAAACGTCCTTTGCACGTGGCTACGTGAACTTGTAGAAAACCAGAAGGGAAATCAGACAGCCGAACAGAAATTGGCCGCTATTGTCGAGCATCATCTCAGAATATTGACGTACGTAAACAAAAAATACATTTTCTGAAATACTTTATGTGTAGATATTGTACATTTTATATACAATAAAAAAATATATAGATTTTTGTGTTAAATTAAATTAAATTATCTATCTAGATAATTTATTAAATTATCTAGATTAATTAATTTCTTTCATTAGAAACAATGTGCCATTATCGAAACATTAGCTTTTATGTTTTATTTGTTATGCAGACATCGTTTTTCGAAAGAAAACTTCACGTTACATCTAATGATTATGAACATTATTATATACATTTCAGTTTTATAGCACGTGTGGAAAGTATTATGAATAAGATTTCTCTTGTGGAATTGATGGGATGTACGATAAATATGTGCTTACTTGGATATTATTTGATTATGGTATGCTAAAGTAAAAAAAATTCACATCTTGTTATGTGCACCAATAATTTTTTATGTACATAAACGTTCAAAAGTGTTATTATATATTACTGAAAAAATTTTAGAAACTGATTTAATCACATTTTTATGTAAAAATAAACGTTGTAACTTTTAGGCTTGGGAAGATTTTGATGCAACAAAAATAACATCTTACGTTAATGTGTACTTTTCGATGGCATTTAATATTTTTATATTTTGCTATATCGGAGAGATTATCACAGAACAGGTACATATATTGAGAGTACAATACGTATGTAATTTTTGTGTATGTTTGATTATTCAAATATATCTTTACTTTGCTCCTACGTTATTATACGTTATTATACTAAAATGCAATTATTTTGCTTTTAGCAAAGTTCGGTATTTGTGTATACATTTCGAATCTTTTAATATTTTTCTTAATCCAAATTAAATCAAATTTTCATTAATCACAGAAAATTTTAATTTTATATTAATTTGTTAGTGCAAACACATCGGGGAAGTGGCATATATGACCAATTGGTATAATCTACATCACAAAACTGCACTTGGTCTTATTTTAATAATAGCACGATCAAGTAATGTAATAAAGATCACTGCAGGAAAAATTTTTCATTTGTCCATCGCAACGTATGGCGACGTAAGTAATGCATAAACGATCTTCAGAAAAACTGTAGAAGAAAAGTTAATACGTACTTCTTTATATTTTGCAAATTACGAATCTTAAGGCGATGCTGGCACGACGACCGAACTTCACAATATAGCTTGTTTTATCGATGCGTACTATATTGATGTAGTTGATGTGTTCATGTTCACTACCACATCAATATCGCACATACACATCGTAACAAATTTTCGTGTACATACATATTCCTCAAAAATTAAGTATCTAAATCTAATTCTAACTCTAATTCTAAATCAAACTCCATGTCGTTTCTTCATGTAATCTATTAGTCTAGCTACTGTAATTTTGTAAGTACAAGTTGCAGATTTTTTATATCAAGCACATGTTGTCTTGACTAGATCAAGACATCATATACAATTAAAAAATAAAAATCTTTTTTGTTCTCCGCATAAACTCCGAGCGTGAGACTAATATTAATGCGTATACGCCGTATACTTTAATTTTGAAAAAGGATTTTGCAAATCTATTAAATACGGAAAAATCTCATCACAAAAATTATTGCGTTTTATCGACAAAACAGACGATGCCAGCGTCCCCTTAATAATTTAATAAAATAATCAATTTTATGTTATCTATTATCTTACAACAATATTTTTTAATTAATTAAAAGAAAAAAAGAAAGATTTAAAAATAGATATTTGAAAAATATACTATTCTTAGCATATATTGCAATTTATATTAAACATAAAAACAAACATTTTGTTTCAGGTAATGAGAACTTCTATGGTATATTTAAATCTTTTACGAACTCTAACAATGTGAAACATAAGTTTTAAGAAATGTGAAAATTTTATTTTGTATAGAACGAGCTGTTGAGTAAAATATTCTCTAAGTCAAATTTAAACAAATAAAATTTATTATAATAAATTAATATAATAAATATTGAATATGACAAAATTATTGAACTATTAATTTATTGTCAAAAATTCATGCAATATAATCTTTTTCATTTTTATATATATCTATATATTTACCTATATGTTCTAATTTCAAGAGTTCAAATATTTACTAATATATATCCTGTTAAACAATATAAAGAATTATGGCTAAAATATAAAAAACCAGGAAATCTGCCAAGTTAAAGCACTTGTAATGTCACTTCCACGAACTTAACTATACACTCCTCACGACACGCAACGTTCTCTCAAACATCTGACAATAGAAACTCTCGACGAACAATTATATCGATTGAACATACATCCCTTTCAGAGTAATTTTTGTAGGTAATGTTAGACCGTTCGCCAAACTCTTTCGAAGATCGGCGCAGGCGCTTCTCATATTCCGGGCACGATGAATTGTCTATCCGTGGCCAGTACACCGTGCGCTTTCACGTAGCGATCATGTCAAATTCCAAACGTGCGCCTGAAAGCGACATATCGAAAAAATATAATGATTACAGTTTACAATTGAATCGATGGCTTATCAAGCCGATCGGTGCGTGGCCGCAAATAAACGCGTCGAGCTTAGCATGGAGAATTTTTATATTACTACAAATTCTCATTTGTGCGAGCTTAGTAGCGTCTGTAACGGTACCGTGTTTGTTATATGTGTTATTTGAAAAAGTTAACGTCAAGCTAAAACTGAACGCCCTTGGGCCACTGATTCACAGGCTTATGGGATCTATAAATTACTGGGTGTTGCTCAATCGCAGCAATGACATTTATAAATTAATGCGGCACATGGAGGTAGATTGGAATCGCATACAGAAGATCGACAATCGCAAAGTGATGCTGCAATATGCTAAGTTCGGTCGTTTCATCACCATGATCTGTGGGATGATCATGCAGGGCGGTACGTTCATCTTCAGCTTAACGAAAGCGCTGAAAACTACAACCATCGTCATCGGCAATGAGACTTATACGACGTATCCGATGACGTGTCCGATTTATAGTAAAATCATCGACATAAGATTCAGCCCTGTAAACGAAATCGCGTTAGTTCTGCAGTTCCTGTCAACGTTCATAGTCAGTTCCTCTACCGTCGGTGCTTGTAGCTTGGCCGCCGTCTTCGTGACACATGCTTGTGGTCAGCTGAACGTGATGTATGCGTGGCTACATGAACTTGTTGAAAATCAGGAAAAAGGAAATCATGCAGTTAAACGAAAATTGGCCACCATCGTGGAACAACATTTGAGAACATTGAGGTATTTCACACGCAGGCACTTGCTAAAAAATGCACATCTTAGAGCACTATTCCAGAATTACTTAAAACTTACTCGGAATTCATTTAAATTATTAATTAAGCATTTAAAAATAAATGTTTTGGCTACATTCAAGGTAAATTCATTTTCTTCTTCTGAATTACTAAAAGAGAAAATTTGTTATCAAGAAATTGATAAAGAATTCAATGTACAAATAACTTGTAAAAAAAACTTTACTGTGTTACATTTATACGTTTCAGTTTTTTATCACGTGTGGAAAGTATTATGCATAAAGTTTCTTTTGTGGAATTAACGGGATGCACGATAAATATGTGCTTAATTGGATATTATGTTATAATGGTACGCTAAGAAAATATATGAAAATCTTATTTAGTACATCAAAATATAATTTATTTATGAGAAACCAAACATCGCTACTCTATTACAAAATTTGTATTAGAAACGATAAATTAAACGATAAAGATGTGTTTATATTTAAACTTTTAGGCTTGGGAAATGCTCGATACAGCAAAAATAATGTCTCTCGTTATGATATATTTTTCGATGGGATTTAATATTTTTATATTTTGTTACATTGGAGAGATTGTCACAGAACAGGTAATACATCAAAAAATTAAAATATACTAAAATCAAGCAATATGACATTTTGATATTTGTTGATAATTCAGTCGATTTTCAAATGAGTAAAACATAATACTCTTGTATTATAGAAAAAAATCTTAAAATATAATTGCCCCATTCTTTTAATAAAACTAATTATTTCCATTTAACATCTTGTTAATCCAGATTATTAAATTCTTCTCATTACTCATAGAAAATTTAAATCTTATCTCAATTTGTTAGTGCAAATATGTCGGAGAAATGGCATATATGACCGACTGGTATAATCTACATCACAAAACTGCCCGTAGTCTCATTTTAATCATTGCTCGATCGAGTAACGTGATTAAGATCACCGCAGGAAAATTATTCCAGTTATCTATCGTAACTTTTGGTGATGTAAGTAATGCAGATATAGCATACACCTTCGTTTTAATTAAAAAATTAGTAAATTATATTTTGCTTATACTTTAATAATGCAAATTATGATCATCTTATAGAAAGTGAACTGTTTAATTGGATTATCCATAATTTTTAAATTATCCATGCATTTAATTTAATTATGTACAATTACATACAATTTAATTATGTGGATGTGAATAATTTGAAATTTATGTACAATTACATACAATTTAATTATGTGGATGTGAATAATTTCAAATTTTAATATATCTATGAATACATTTTAAAATTTTAAATTTTAATATACTTAAAATATAAAATTTCTAATTAAAATTATAGAATGATATATTCGTATTAATTCTAAAATTATAGAACATGATAAATATATATATATATATCATGTTCTATAATTTCAGATTGAATATATCATTCTATAATTTTATATATAATTATATATATAATTAATATATAATTTATATATATATATATATATATTGTTTTTGCATTGTGTAGAAATAAGCGTGTTGTTTCAGGTAATGAAAACTTCCGTGGTATATTTAAATCTTTTACGAACATTAACATAATATGAAACATAAATTTCAAGAAATACGACAAATATATTTTATATAGAACAAGATGTAAGATAAATACATACATCCTCTAAGACAAATATTAATAAACAAAATTAATTATACTATTAAAATGAGACAGGATTATTGGCTATCAAATCATTGTCAAAAGTTCATGCAATATAATTATTTTTCATATATCCAATTATATTTTATATATTTTAAGATGTTCTAATTCTCATCATTATAATATATTCTATTAATCAGTATAAGAAATTATATGGTTAAAATCTAAAATCGAACGAGGAAAATCTGCCAAGTTGAAGCACTTGTAGTGTTACTTCCACGAATCTATCTTTACACTCCTCAGTCCTCACGACACGCGATATTCTCTCACAATCAGACATCTGTCAACAGAAACTTTCGACGAACAATTATATCGAACAATTATATTGAACATGCGCCCCTATCAGAGTATCAGAGTAATTTTGTAATATTAGACCATACGCCAAACTCTCAAATATCGGTGCAGGCGCTTCTTCATATTCCGGGTACAATGAATTGTCGGGTGATACCCGATTGACCACGTCCCGATTGACCACCAGCCATTCACAGCGCTTGAACAGTGGAAAATCTCTAGGCACCAACCGCTGTGAGTGGCTGTGGTCAATCGGAACGTGGTCAAACGGAACGCTCCTTGAATTGTCTATCCGTGGCCAGTACACCGTGCGTTTTCACGTAGCGATCATGTCAAATTCCAAACGTGCGCCTGAAAACGACGTATCGAAAAAATATAATGATTACAGTTTACAATTGAATCGATGGTTTAACAAGCCGATCGGTGCGTGGCCGCAAATAAACACAAACTCAGCGTGGAAAATTTTTATATTATTACAAATGCTCATTTGTTCGAGATTGATAGCAATAACGGTACCATGTTTGATATATGTATTATTTGAGAAAATCCACATCAAGCTAAAACTCATCGTCATAGGGCCACTGCTTAACAGGATTATGGGATCAGTAAATTATTGAGTGTTGCTCAAACGCAGCAGTGACATTTACAAATTAATGCGACACATAGAGGTAGATTGGAATCGTATACAAAAGATTGACAATCACAAAGTAATGCTGCAACACGCTAAGTTCGGTCGTTTTATCACCATAATCTGTGGGGTGATCATGCAGGGCGGAACGTTCTTGTTCAGCTTAGTGAAAGCGATGAAAACCGCAACCATCGTCGTCGGCAACGAGACTTTTACGACGTATCCAATGACATGTCCGATAAATAGTAAAATCATCAGCACGAGATTCAGCCCTGTAAACGAAATCGCGGTTGGTTCTGCAGTTCCTGTCAACAATCATAGTGGGTTGCTCCACCGTAGGTGCTTGCCGCTGTCTTCGCGGTACATGCTTGTGGTCAGCTGAACGTGATGTCTACGTGGCTATATGAACTTGTTGAAAATCAGGAAAAAGGAAATCATGTAGTTGAACAAAAATTGGCAAGCATCGTGGAACATCATCTGAGAACATTGAGGTATTTCATATGCAGGCACGCGCTGAAAAATGCTATCTTAGAATTTCAGAATTACTTTATTTCAGAATTACTCAAAACTTATTTGGAATTCATTTAAATTAATTATTAATTAAGCATTTAAAAATAAATATTTTGGCTAGATTCAAGGTAAATTCATTTTCTTCTTCTAAATTACTAAGAGAAAATTTGTCATTGTATTAATAAAGAGTTCAATGTGCGGACTTACTTGTAAAAAGAACTTTACTGTGTTACACTTATACGTTTCAGTTTTATAGCATGTGTGGAAAGTATTATGCATAAAGTTTCTTTTGTGGAATTAACGGGAAGTACGATAAATATATGCTTGTGTGGATATTATACTATAACGGTTCGTTAAAGATATAAAAAAATTAAAATCTTATTAGACAATACCTTAAATGTAATTTATTTATAAAAAATCAAACATCACTATTATATTACAAAATGTGTATTAGAAACAATAAATTACACGATAAAGATGTAGTCATATTTGAATGTTTAGGCTTGCGAAACGTTCGATACAGCAAAAATGATATCTTACATTATGGTATATTTATCGATGTGTTTCAATATTTTTATATTTTGCTACATTGGAGAGATTGTCACAAAATAGGTAATAAATCGAGAATTAAAATATACTAAAACCAGGAAATATGAAATTTTGACATTTGTTGATAATTCAGTCGATTTTCACGAGTAAAACATAATATTCTTATTATATTAATAGAGAAAAATCTTATAATATAATTGTTCTACTCTTTTAATAAAACTAAATATTTCTGATTAACATCTTGTTAATCGTAATTATCTAATTTTTTCATTACTCATAGAAAATTTAAATCTTTATTCTGTCAATTTGTTAGTGCAAATATGTCGGGGATGTAGCATATATGACCGACTGATATAATCTACATCACAAAACTGCACGTGATCTCATTATGATTATTACTCGATCAAGTAACGTGATTAAGATAACCGCAGGAAAGTTATTCCACTTATCTATCGCAACTTTTAGTGATGTAAGTAATGCAAATATATCATACCTCTTCGTTTAATTAAAAAATTAGTAAATTATGTTTTGCTTATACTTTATTAATAACAAATTATAATCATCTTTTAAAAATTAAATTGTTCAAATGGATTATCCATTATCTTCAAATCATCTGTACATTTAATCATATGCAATTACATACAATTTAATTATATATGTATGAATAGTTTAAAATTTAAAATTTTAATATATATTTAATATTATAATATATATATTTATATATATATATAAATATACATATTTGATTTGTGTAGAAATAAACATATTGTTCCAGTTAATGAAAACTTCCGTGGTATATTTAAATCTTTTACGAACACTGACCACGTAAAACATAGTTATATAAAAAACAAGTTAAAAAATATACAAAATATATATATTTTATATAGAACAAATTAATATATCTAAAAATAAAATTTAATAAATAAAAAAAGTCGAGATTATGAGTTGAATTAATTGAGTTAAATTATTTTTAAAGTTGTATATTACGTAATTTTTTTATGATTTTTTTCATGCTTTTTTTTATAATATAAAGTACTTGTTTTCGTATTCATCGAAATTACATATTTATCCTTTTTAACAGTATGAAAAAGATGTCAGCATATAATCAAATAAAAAAAATATAGTTGTAGCTGATAATTAAAGTTTATTCGATGTCATTTCTATGAATTTACAGTCCGCGTGACACGCGATATTATTCCCTCTCATAACTGATATTATAAACTCGCGACAAACAATTATTGATCAGACATGCAACCCTTTCAAAGCAATTGCAGTATCAGGCTGCTCGTCAAACTTTTTCTGAAAGTTGGCACAGGCGCTACTTCATGTTCAAACTCTGGCACAATGGCCCATTCGTGACAGCATATTGCGTGCCTTCGTAAAATGATCGTGCTAAACCACAAGTGTGTGGCAGGAAGCGTTGAATTGAAAAAGCATGACGATTGTAGTTTGCAATCGGACGTATTGAATTGACTGATTTTTTTCCTAAGTTAACTGATATACTGTCATCTGCTATAGTCATCTAGAACATATTTGTAAAATTAAATATTTGTTGATATATTTTATAAAAAGAATATTTCGTCACATATTGCTAAGTTTCAGCATTATACACATAAAAACCCTTACGCATAATGTTTGTCTTGTCAAATATATATGTTTAATTGATTTACTTGGTGCATTTATAATATACTAAAAACATCAAAACAAAGAATAAGTATATTAATAGCATTACATTATAATTTCTTTATAACTACGATGTATTACTATATATAATATATTATAACAGAAAAGATGTTTTTAAATGTTACAGAATTGAAAAAATTAATTAATTTTCTTCTCAAGAAAACAACCAATAAATGTGTATTTTCTGAAATCAGAGTCTAATTAATGCAATTTAATATAATAAGTTAAATTAATAATTTTATAATTATGTACATATCCATTAGACTTAATTTGATATACCCATTGCTAAATACAAATTTATAAGCAATCATATCCTTTTCAAGCACACTGCACTGTACTATGACACAGTCGACTATCTAATTTTTTAACAAGTTTCATTTGTGTATCGATTAGAGAAAAGTTTCACCCTTTTCCTTTGGTGCAAATCGATATAAACGTGCAGGCATCAGTGTTGTTCAACTCCCTTTGTTCCGAACGGATGAAACAGCCAAACAGGATAGAACTGATAGAGCACAAAAAATAGAGCTACCACAAACGGACAAGTTCCTTACATCCGTTCGAGTAAAAATGCAGAAACGGTTTTGCTTCATTACGGCGACAGTAAGGGTGGACGAATTGCGTGACGACGCGACCCAGCAATTTTGCTGGCACTCGCGCCTGTCTCTATCCCGCAATGAATTTCAACCACCACTTCAATTTGCCACCGTAAAATATCGATTGCTCGAGAGACGTGTGTATTAAACGCGCACGCGTTACTCCCTAACTGTTTTGCACCCGTGTGTGCGGTTTCGAGGAATCATCCGCGCGACCGCTCAATTGCGTTTGTGCGCTTGGAAGGCGAACATGAAGAAGCCGCCGCAGAATCCGCCGGTCGTGTTCAACTACTTAGAGAACAAGGAGTACACCATACAGCCGATTCGCTGGCTGCTGAAGCCGATAAGCGCGTGGCCGGTGACAGACTCGTCGATCGCAGAGAGGCTCCTGTCAGCGGTGCTGCTGGTAGCGTGCATCTTCCTGATCGCCGGCACCCTGGTGCCCTGCGCGCTGGCCATAATCCTGGACGAGACCAAGGATCTGGAGATGAAGATCCGCGACTTCGGGCCGCTTAGCAACTGGGTGCTGGCGAGCCTCAAGTACGTCTCGCTGCTGGCGCACGTCGACGACATACATCGCTGCATCGAGCACATCGAGACGGACTGGCGGGCCGTGACGAGGCTCGAGGAGCAGGAGGTGATGCTGCGGAGCGCCAGACTCGGTCGTTTCATCGCGCTATCCTCCGCGGCGTTCATGCACAGCGGCGTGTTCTCGTACGGCATATTCCGCGGGATGACGCTGGGCGAGTCCGTCGCGAGCGACAACACGTCGGTGCGCTCGCTGCCCTTCGCGTTCTACACACCGATTCTGGACACCACGGCGAGTCCGATGTACGAGATAGTGTTCGCGATACAGTGTCTGTCCACGTTCGTCGTGAATTCCGTGGCGGTGGGCACTTGCAGCCTCACCGCCGTCTTCGTGCTGCACGCCTGCGGTCAACTGAAAATCCTGATGTCTCTGCTGGATAATTTGATCAACGAGAGAAACGAGAAGAGAGACTCCTCGCAGCAAAAGTTCGCCGTCATCGTAGAGCATCATTTAAAAGTACTCAGGTAAAAATCGAGGGGACAATTTAACGGTGAATTTTCTGTATGTCGACGACGGATATTTTATTTGTTCGTTTTAATTATGCTGTGTGCTAAATGCTGTGAATAATATAATAATAAATTATTACTAAATAAGTATGAATAATCTCTCTAAAATATGTTAATAATATTGATCTATAAATGCGAAAAATGTACGATTATTTTGACATATTGTACTTCTAGCTTCGTGTCTCACATAGAGAAAATTACGAGTGTAGTTTGTCTCGTGGAGATAGTAGGGTGCACGCTGCAAATGTGTCTCTTGGGTTATTATTGCTTACTGGTACGCGTACTCTGTTGAAACTTGTTTGTCGCTCATTGCCCATTGCTCGAACGAATTAGAGAATCTTTTTTAGGATTGGAACCAAGACGAAAAAGAAGGTATAGTGGCGTATGCTATAATATTGATTTCGGTTACTTTCAACATCTTTATATTTTGTTACATCGGAGAGATACTTTCAGAACAGGTAAACGGCAGCGCCTGTTAGAAATAACAATGATTTTATATTTCGCGATCAATAAAAAACTATACGATCTGTTAACAATTTATTTCGCGCGTGAGTTTTATCGATATTGCCGCGAGCGATATTGTCCGATTTAATCGTAATATAACAGTGTGGCCAAGTTGGTGAAACTGCTTACATGACAAATTGGTATCTGTTACCCGAAAATACTGCTCTCGGTCTCGTTCTGATCATTTTAAGATCCAGCATTGTAGTCAAAATCACTGCTGGAAAAATGATCGAGCTTTCTCTTTCTACATTCGGTAGTGTGAGTATACAATTTCAATTTACAAACGCTTACAAATATAATGTATATAGTATTTCATTAGATTTACACAAATTACATATATATATGTATATATGTATTTTTAGCAACTGTTTCTTAATTTTACACATATATATATATATATATATATATATATATATGTATGTATATGTAAAATTAATATATACCTATATATGGATATAATTAAGGAATAGTTGCTGAATGTCGTATCTGTCACCTAAATCGTATCTCATCAATAAATTATTAATTATAATTAATATTTAGTTAGAAAAATATAAAATAAATGAGAAATGTGTAATATAGACAAAAATTTAACAGGTTACATCCTGCTAACAATACATTAAAAAGTCACGTACAACTAATATTAATTTTTTTTCAATTTATGTAGCTGATAATAATGTAAACATAAAATTTTATTTTAAATTTTTATATTTTTATAAAAGAAAATTTTATTGTAAAACACTTTACATTTATTATATATACCTACATATTTGCAATTATAATAACAATTAAATTGATATTTTTATAAAATATGTCAAGTTTCCTAAATTGCACTAGAAAGTAAGACTAATAATTGAAAATATTAAAGTTAATAATGGATATAAGTACAAACATCAATTACAAAAATAAATTCATGCAAATTTTATTTCAAATTCTCTTTTCATTATTGTTATTATTCATTAATTATTTTAAATTTCTTTTTATAAATCTTACATTTTTAATCATTTTTATAACATATCATTTTTTTATAACATTTTTCTTTATAATGTAATACTTTCAAAGAAAATATGATTTAGAATATCCACAGATACGATTACGAGTTTTCTAAATCGTGCTTTTGCAACATATTACAAAAGCACATATAATAAATTAATTTGTTATTAGTGGAAAGTTAAACATGTAATAACGGGTGCCTAAACATTAAGCTATATTCAATAATTATTTCCATACAAATCAGTACTAAATGGAAAATACAACAAAAAATACTTTAAGTGATACGTATTTGGCGACTCTCCCTACACATATATTATATAACTTGTAAAGATAATTAAATGATATTTTTAATGACTAGCCAAACAATCATATTTTCTATAGAAACAATATGATTTATAAATTTATTTATTTCAGGTAATTAAATCCGCGTTAGCGTATTTAAACATACTTCGTACCCTTATTTCTACGTGAATGTTATTTAGTAATTTTTTATATATTCAATAGATTGTAAACAGTGAATATAGTGTGCAATTGAATAATTAAATATCAATACTATTGTGAGAATAATTTAAATGTCATTAAATATCAATAATATAGTGAGAATATTTTAATGTCAATATTTAAAATGTTTATAAGTAAAATTTAATTTTACTTTGTCTATTGCTTTAAATTTTCTAAATATATCCTAATAGCAATACTATAATTGATCTACTTGATAAAATTAATTATTTGATTTTATTTGCAAGATAAATCACAGATAAATCATGATCTTCAATGTAATTGAATATTGTAAGGTCCAGTACGTAAACTTCAGCTTAAATATCGATTACACATTGCTTCTACCTATTATCGCGACAGCGATGCACATTATCGCAACAATATATGACACTACATTGTAAGGATCACCGGTCGTATCATGTGCCGTTCAATGTCTGCACACACGCTGACTGTTACTACTGCGTGTGCGGTATTGAGGGGTAGTATGTTGACTACCTTCGTCAGAAAATCATGGGAGATAATCTCGCGGGTAATCCTACCTTCTCCGTAACCCCGTACTTACAATTAGTTGATAAATACAATGAGTACAGTAGCCAGATAATACACCAGATTCTCAAGGTGATTAATTTATAGCCGCGTCCCGCTGACGTATCAATTGCCAAGAAAATCCTTCGATTTTGTGATATTTACGTGCTACTTCCTGATAATTATTATCATGATAATTGTTACACCGGTTTGAGTATATTCCTCAATACACAGGATTCTTACGAGACTAGGGTGCAGAGCTTCGGCTCACCTTCTGGTTCATAGCGATGATGAATTATTCCTGCCATCCTGATGAATGTTGACGACATACACGACTGTGTGAAGCACATAAAAGCGGATTGAAAGCGGATGATCATCAGAGATTCGAGGATCAGAGAGATGATAAAAGGCGCCAAGTTAGATCGATTCAACGCCAATTTATGCATTATCGTCCAAAATCTTTCCAAGAGTCTATCCTACACATGGAAAATGGCAGTATAATGCTGATATCCTGGCTTGAAAATTTCGTAAACAATAGCAATAAGACATATATGAGGTTCGCAATCATCGTAAATCATCATTTCAGGATCTTGAGGTGAGTTATCATTCTTGTATTTGATATTTTCTAATGTGTGCCATCTGATTTAATCCAATTTAAATGAGTAATAGCGCAATTAAGAGGTAAACATATTAACAGGCAAACATATTTTTGAAATGCAAATGTTACATTCTTAATTCGTAACATTTTTAATTCGTAATGTTTCATTTTTTTAATGAGCAAAAGTCACTAAATGTTACATGGTTAATCAAAATTGCTGCAAAATAATTACAATAGTGATCATACGTTATATTTGTAGTTTTGTATCGGGTAGAGAAATATTATAAATATAATATGTCTTGTGGAATTAGTTGAAAGCACTATGCATCTATGTCTCTTAAGATATTACTGCATTATAGTATGGAAATTCGTCCAAAATATACATTTTATATTTTTATATATTTAAACAAAATATATAAAAATATTTTATATATTTTTTTATATATTTCTGTTGCTTCTGTACGTTAGACTTTATGTCTCATTAAAGTTTTTATTTTATGCAATCATCAAAATATCTTGTCTTTGATGATATTATAATCTTTGACTACTTTTAATATTTTCATATATTGTTAACTTCGGAGAGATTTTCTCAGTACAGACACAATTTTGAACATTTAATAATAAAAAATGACAATAAAAAAACTGTACGTTCTAATAAAAAAAAACTGATATACGGCGACAGTTCATATTCGCGAGATTTAGATTTAGTATTGGAATTTATTAAGATGCAAATATCGCTGATGTCTTTAATCGAATTATAACAGGTATACAAAACAGCCTTTAAGGAACAGATTGGTAAATATGACAAACTAGTGTCTACTGCCTGAAAAAAAGCGTCCAAAGACGCATTCTGATAATTTTAATATTCAACGCTACCCTCAAGATAACCGTTGGAAAGATTGTTCAGTTCTCATTTTTCACCTTCGGTGATATTAAGTACGCAAAAATATATTCATAGTTTGTGCATATAAAGCAATACGTCATTTATATATTTGTATAAAGAATATTTGTTCGTATTATCATATTTATAACATTCATGTAATACATCCATATAAATAATTTAAAATCCAAAACTTTTCAAAATATAAAGGATTTTCGTACGAAGATGAATAATTTTTAATTGCTTCAAGTAATTAAATCTGTGTTAGCGTATTTAAGTATACTTCGGACCATACTAATTATATAAATAATTATATAACTTTGGCAGTGAAAAAAGATAACATTAAGCAAATTAAACTGTTTATAATAAAATATAAATATTTAATAAAGACTTTGTATGTAATATTTGTCTATATTAAGAATCCTTTGTTAAGAATATTTTGTTAATTTATGATTCCGGACACAATCATAAATTAACAAAATAATACTTGTTTATTAAAAATTTACTTTATGCAAGACAGATTTTAACAATAGTTAATTAGAAGTTTAAAAGATCAAAAATATAATGTGTAATAACAAATATATATGGTGTGTATAACACACAAGTCCCACTTACAGAAGAATAATACATGTAAATATATTTCAAGCAATTACTTTATATATTTATACTAATTTTTTTTGTAAAAGTATTACCTTCATTAATGTAAAGTAATTTATTCAATATTATTACTATATTTTTTTACACATTGCATTATAATAACAGTCGATAACTTTATCGAATTACTCAATATTTCAATCAGTCTTTTAGAGAGAAAGTTATATTTCACAACTCTTATTCCACTCTTTTTAAAGATCCATCCATCTCGACGCACCGTCGAGATCCACGAGATACAGAGTGAAAATACTCGTAGATCTTCTACCGACTATATCACAAAAAATATAAAGTAGGAAACATGTACGCAGTATTACGTATTCCCCCTTGATCACGAACGATAGTCGGAACCCTTTTTCCTCATAAAATTCACTTCCTTATATCTGCACCCCTTCAGAAAGACTCGCACGCAGCACGCAACGAACTTCCAGGAATCCATCGACATCTCGCTAATAATGAAACGGCCAGCAGATAGAAAGCGGTAGGAAGAAATCAATTGCGTTTACGCACGAACATTTATGGACGGACGAAGGATGCACATGCGCGTGTCAAACTCGCGAACGCTCAGTCGGTTGCGTGCATCGTCGCGATTTACATCACTATCATGCTCGATCAGTCAAAGTCGAAGTTCATCGAGCCCGCGACGGACGGCTGGAACTACAGCATTCAGCTGAATCGTTGGTTCCTGAAGCCGATCGGCGCGTGGCCGTTGATCCTCTGCGAGAGCACGATGGAGAAGATCAGTTGCATGATCCTGACGGTGATCAGTTCCTTCCTCATATGTTTCCTGCTCATCCCGTGCACTCTCTGCACTATCCTAGTGGACACCGATCTTGACACCAAGATCCGGATGATCGGTCCGGTCAGCTTCATCCTAATGGCGGGGGTGAAGCAGTACATCCTCATCATCCGCAGCGAGAATATCAGCGAGTGCTTTCGGCACGTCCGCGCGGACTGGGGCCGCGTGGCGCTGGTCCACGAGAGGGACCGCGAAATAATGGTGGACAACGCCAAGTTCGGCAGGTGGCTGTCCTCCGTCTGCGCGATCTTCATGTACTCCGCCGGCATATTCTTCACCACGGTGATGCCGATCTGCGCGAGGAGAACGGAGATCATTGACAACGAGACGGTGAGGTCGCTCTCCTTTCCGATCTACCGCGGCCTATTCGATCCGCGCACTACGCCGTCCTTCGAAATCGCGCAGTTCACGCAAGCTCTGGCTGGTTACGTCATCTACACGATCACCATCGGCGTGTGCAGTCTGGCAGCGGTGTTCGTCATGCACGCCTGCGGGCAGTTTCGGATACTCATGCTGAAGATGGACGATCTGGCGGACGGTAAAGAGAGGAAGAGTGCGAGCAGCACGCACGAGGGAAGACTCGGCGACATTGTGAAACATCACATCAGAATACTCAGGTGAGCGTTGATTTCAGGTGAATGGTGATATTAATCACGGCTTGAAATCAGATATGAAGACAATTGTATCCACAGGGGAATGAAATCACTTGCAGTTTGTGAAAATTTTTCTCCAAAAGAATATCAGAATCCTAACATTGTGATAAACGATTAAAATATTAATAAAATGCACGAAAATTTTTATAATTGAGGAGACAGATTTTGCGCTAATAATCCTGATAATTACATTATCATAAAAGTATCTCAAGAGATAATGTCTTTCCCGAGACACATTTATGATAATGTAATATATTATATAAAAAAATTTTAGCATTCCTTTCAATTTTAATCGCGTAACTTGCAGTTTTATTACTCGCACTGAGGAGCTTTTAAACGAGATGTGCCTCGTGGATGTAGTCGGGTGTACGCTCAACATATGTTTTCTGGGATTCAATATGATGACGGTACGAAATGTATTTACGGACAATATTTTAAATGACGTTGACAGCATAATAAAATTACATTCCATACTTATAACATTTTGATGTTAGCCTTTTAGGAATGGGAACATCGTGAAACATTAGGAACGATGACATTCTGTTCGTTACTCATATCTTTCACGTTCAATATTTTTATCCTTTGCTATATTGGCGAAATCCTTGCCGAACAGGTACTTAAACTAAAGTATAATTGTAGTCTCTATTGTAATTACATTTTGCTTATTGTAAATATCATTGAGAATTTAAATTATTCTCAGAGTAACAGCAAAATAGATTAATATAAATTTTATTTTCCCAACTTTACAGTTCATTTTATCAAATTAGAAAAATTTCTTTACTTTTCTATTAAATTGATTAAACTTGATTTTATACAAAAAATTTTTTCATGCGTGCTTTATATAATATAAATTACTGGTATAATATAAATAAAGTGAGTTATTAAACGCGTCATAAAAAGCGTTTTCTATAAAGAACATCATCGAAATCTTTTTAACAGTGTATACAAATCGGCATGAAGTCTTATATGATAGAATGGTATCGTATACCGAATAAGGGTGCGCTCGGTTTAACGTTAGTAATGGCTATGTCCAATGCCACAATCAAACTCACAGCCGGAAAATTTATGGATTTATCCTTGGCCAGTTTTTGCAGCGTGAGTAGAAATATCAATAGCATTACTTTCATTTATTCACGTACACGAATTATTTATGATTATTCATATATGGATGCAACGGTAAAAATTTTCAGGTCATGAAAGCGGCCGTGGCTTATCTGAATTTACTTCGTACTTTTTACGTTACGTAAATGAAATCGTTTCTGTATTATAGTAACATTAGCGTTAAAAAATAATGTTTAAATAATTAGATATATGCCAGCACATTCGTTAATAAATCATGTTACATAAATTATCGTTTACGTAAACGTAAGCTTGAAATAGAATTAAATTTATTACGATATACTGACAAAATGTTGAAATTGCAGATTAACTAATTATACTCTCAATAAATATACAGCTATGTTCTATACTGTGTTACGCAAAGTGCATATATAGCGTCGTACGCATTCATCTATCGACTGTGTAATACTTCCAATGTTGCGTTACGCACTATAGAAATAGCGGAGATGCGTATACCCGCGCAACTATGTTACAACTCGTAAACTTCACATCGTTACGCACTTTCACTCGTCATCGACGTGCAATGACTAGAAAAGGGGGAGAATCTCCCTTGCGTATTCCCCTCTGTTACACATACGACAAGCACGGGACGCGTCTGCACGCGATCACGGAATCATTATTTCCCCGCGCTTGCGTGGCCACGCGGACGTCGGGACGCTATCCTGCGTATTTCGATTGGCGTTAAACCTGCGGACGACAGCATGCACGATCGATCCTGATTTTCAGGCAGGATACACAATGTACATTGCGAAATCGACGTAAACTGCGCCATATGCAACTATACCGATGCATCTTGAAGCCGATCAGTATCTGGCACCTGATTTATGGTCGCTCGTTGCAGAGCGTCTATCATTAATTTGAAACTCTGATTTGTGCTTCGTGCTCATATCTGCCGGTCCGTACACTTCGTTTCGCGAAAAGGACATTAACATTAAGGTCAAGTTCTTTGAACCGGTCAGCTTCCGTCTAACTTCCGCGATCAATTAATACTGCTTCCTTGGAGCGCGCGTCTCAGCGCTCGGAAGAAGTGTCAAACATGTTGAGAGCGATTGGCGTGTCGACATCAGGATCATCGCAAGATGATGCTGAGGGACGCGCTGGTAGGCTGCAGATGCTGTGCGTGATCTTTCTTTACATAACCAACGTCATATCCTACACGAACATGCTGCTGTCCTCCAGGTGAATGGCAGTTTCATGAGACCGCTGATTTATCCAAGATGCAATCTCTTTTTGATCCACAGACAAGTCCCGCTTATGTCATTTTTTGTGTGCACTGCCTATCCACTATATGATACGTATATAGTGCTACGACGACAGCGTGCAATCTGATTTTACTACGCACACGTGCGGACAGGTACAGATATTGATGACATTTTTGGATGAACTAGTCGACGGAAGGAGGAATAAAAGTACCACTGTGGACTTGTGAGCTTGATAGCGAAGCAACACGTACGTGCATTGAGGTGAGTCGAAAAGAAATGAGAAAAGTGTCGTAGTTTAACATGATATTAAAAGACTCATTTGAAATGGAATATATAGAGCACTTGCCGCGTTCCTAAGGTTTTTCGACAAAATATGCTTATTAGAACTGACTACCTTGATTATATGCTTGCTCGAGTATCTACTATTACATGATGGTAAAAAGATTACAATATAAGTAAACACGTGTCACGTAAATGACACGTCCGTGTACAATGAGTTCTATTATGCTCTTCATAGTGTAGCTATTAAATATTATAGTTGTGTAATATTTAATTGTAACGAAACAGAACAAATCTTTCCCTTTCGCTAGTATATTGTAAATATCTAATTAAATATGTACGTTTGTCTTCTTTTGGGAATGGGCAAAAAGCCGTGTACGATTATTTCGAGACATGTTGTACATATGTATTCTGTATTTCTAAATTTCTCTAGCTTCATGTCTCATATAGAGAAAATTACGAGTGTAGTTTATCTCGTGAAAATAATAGAGTGAAAGCTACATGTACCTATATGTCTCGTTGGCTATTATTTGCATACTGATACGCATATTGTGTAAAATTTGTTTGTCGCTCATTGTCCATTTTCAGAACAGATAACGGCAGCGCCTATTAGAAATATCAATAATTTTTATATTTTAAATAAATTATTTTATATTTCACTGAATTTTATACTTTGCCATCAATAAGAAATCGTACGATCTATTAATAATTAATTTCGTACATGAATTTTATCGAAATGCGATATTATCACAAGCGTATTATCCGATTTAATCGTAATATAACAGTGTGGCCAAGTTGATGAAACTACTTACATGACAATATAAAAATCTAGAATGTTATCCAGAAATGCTGCTTTCTGATCATTTTAAGATTCAGGATTGTAGTCAAAATCACTGCTGAAAAGCAGTAATTTTTACTACAATGCAATGGAGATTTCTCTTACCTTCGGTAATGTAAATACACAAAAATGTATTTTTCAATTTGCAAACATATAGTTTACGGAAGTAGTATTTTATAGATACACAAATAATTACATAATTTTTTTAATGATAGTCAAACAATCATAGTCATTATAAACAACATGATTTATATTTCAGGTAATTAAATCCGCGTTAGCATATTTGAAATATACTCTTATATTACGTTGTTTAATAATTTCTTATATATTCAATAGAGTTGGAAACAATAAATGTAGTGTAAATAATTGAACTGAATAATTAAATATCAATACTATCGTGAGAATAATTTGCATTCCATATTTTTAAATAAGTTTTTAAATAAATTTAATTTACTTTAATTTTACTTTATTTATTGCCATAAATTTGCTACATTTTGATAGCAATGTGATGATTGATATCCTTGATAAAATTAATTATTTGACTTTACTCGTTGAGATAAATCGCTGATGTGATCTTCAATGTAACTGCGCGCTTAAAACTGTAATGTCCAGTACGTGAAACTTCAGACTTCAATATCGATTGCACGTTGTTTCTACCTGTTGCCGCGGCAGCTGCACATTATCGCGACAATACACGATTCCAAGAATCACTGGTAGTATCATGTGCCGTTCAATGTCCGCGCATGCGCTGACCGTTACTACTGCGTGTGCGGCAGCGAAGAGATAGCAGTAAGTTATCTACCTTCGTCAGAAAATCATGGGGGATGATCTCGCGAATAATCTCAGCACCTCCGCAACTTCGTATAACTTGGTCGACAAATACAATGAGTACAGTATTCAAATAATACGTTGGATTCTCAAGACGATTAATGTGTGGCCGCGCCCTGCCGATGCCTCAATCGCCGAGAAGATCCGTTCCGATTTCGCCACATTCACGTGCTACCTCCTGATAATTGTCATCCTGGTTCCGGCCGCTTTGAGTTTGTTCATCGACGAGCAGGAGTCCTACGAGGTCAGAGTGCAGGCCTTCGGCCCGATCACCTTCTGGTTCATAGCGATTGTGAATTATTCGTGCCTCCTGATCCACGTTGACGACATACACGACTGTGTGGAGCACGTGAGAGCGGACTGGACGATCATCAAGAGATTCGAGGATCACAGAGTGATGCTGAGGAGCGCCAAGATAGGCCGATTCATCGCCGGTTTCTGCGCCGTGTTCATGCAGGGCGGCATTTTCACGTACAACATCGTCCAAGGTTTCACCACGTGTATCCTACACGTGGAAAATGGCAGCATAGTGGTCCGCGCGTTACCCTTTCCCTTTTACAACAAGATTCTGAACGCGCACTTCAGCCCGGCATACGAGTTCGTGTTCTTTTTGCAGTGCCTTTCGTCCTTCGTCGTCAATAGCGTCACGGTGGCTACATGCGGCCTGATCGCGGTTTTCGTGATGCACGCGTGCGGCCAAATGAAAATCATGATATCCTGGCTCGAAAATCTCATAGATGACAGAGACGAGGAAAGAACTTCCGTGACGCAAAGGTTCGCAATAATCGTGAATCATCATTTGAGAATCTTGAGGTAAGTTATCATTTTTGGATTCTTTTACATACTTCATGTTTTCCAATGCGCGCCATCAGATCTAATCCAATTCTAATAAGTAATATTGCAATTAATAGTAGATGTAAACAAATTTTTGAAATGCAAATGTTACATGCTTAATCCATATTTTTAATTCATAATGCTACATTTTTTTTAATGTGCAAAAGTGATATAACAAATTACATGCTCAATCAAATCAAAATTGCTGCAAAATATTCACGATAGATCGTACGTTATATTTACAGTTTTGTATCCCGTACAGAGAAAATTATGAATATAATATGCCTTATGGAATTAATTGGATGTACTATGCATATGTGTATCTTAGGATATTATTGTATTATGGTACGGAAATCCTTCTGCAGTATACATATATATTCTATACAATTATATATTTTCGTTTTACTATTCGCATTTCTATCGTTTGATATAACATCAGGCTTAATATCTCTTTTAGGACTTTATTCTAGGCCAACATCAGAATATCGTGACACATTCAATGGTATTATTTTCGATTACTTTTAATATTTTTATATTTTGTTACATCGGAGAGCTACTTTCTGATCAGGTACAATTCTGAATATTTAACAGTTGAAATACTGTACGGTCTCATAAAAAAAAAACTGATATGTGGCGATAGAATTTATATTCGCAAAATTGAAATTTATTTTTGGAATTTATTAAAATAAAAATATCGCTGGTCTCTTTAATCAAATTATAATAGGTATACGAAACGGCCTTTAGGGCGAACAGATTGGTAAATCAGCCTACATGACAAACTGGTACCTCCTGCCTGGAAAAACAGCTCAAGGATTCGTTCTGATAATTTTAAGATCCAACGCTACCCTCAAGATAACTGCCGGAAAGATTGTTCAGCTCTCATTTTCCACTTTCAGTGATGTGAGTATGCAAAAATATATTCATATTTGTTTCATATAAAACAACATGTCATATATGTATATTCGTACAAAAAATGCTTGTTCATATTATTGAAATTTTATTTTATCATATTTGTATTCGTATAATATATTTGTATAAATAATTTAAGATATAAATATCTTATTTCAAAGAATAATATATTTTGGTACAAAGATGAGTAATTTATAATTGCTTCAGGTAATTAAATCTGCGGTAGCGTATTTAAATCTACTTCGAACTGTACTGGTTACATAAATAATTATATAACTTTGACATGAAAAAGATAATATGCAAATTAGGCAGTTTATAATTAAAAAAATATAGATACTTAATAAAGATATATATTATATGTAATACTTGTCTATGTTAAATAAGTACCCAATATCCGAATACAAATTATAAATTAACAAAATAATACTTCTTCATTAAAAATTTACTTAAATATAAAATATAGATTTTAATAGTCAATTATAAAATTTGACAAAATCAAAAATATACGTATGACAAATATATATGGCGTGTACACAACACGCAAATTTCACTTACAGATTCTAAAGGCATTGGTAATACATGTAAATATATTCCAAGCAAATACTTTATACATATTTATATTATCTATTTATACTCATTTTTCGTGTAAAAATATTACCTTTATTGATATAAATTATAATTTATTCAATATTACTATATTTTCTTACACGATGTATTAGAATAATAGTCAATTATATATATAATAGCAGTCGCTAACTTCACTGATATAGATGCACAATATTTTTATCAACCTTTTATAAAGAAAAATTTATATCTTATATTTATTCTTACGCCGTCCTTTTTAAAGACCCATTTTTCATTGTAATAATCACACACAAAGTGACATAGAAAATCTTCTATCGAATGTATCAGAAAATATGAAGTAGAAAACATGTACCCATGTAACATATTATACATATTTCTTCTTAATTATGAACAATAGTCAAAATCCTTCTTCCTCATAAAATTCACTTCCTTATCTGCATCCCCTGAAAAGAACTTGCATATAGCACGCAATAAAGTTCCAGAAATCCATTAACATCTCACTAATAATGAAACGGCCAGCAGATAGAAAGCGGTAAAAAGGAATCACGAACATTTATGGATGAATGAAAAACACATGCATGTGTCAAACAGGCGATTAGTTGGAGGCTTAATCAGTTGGGTACATCGTCACGATTTACGTCACGATTACGCCATGCTCGACGATTCGAAATCCAGCTTGATAGACGGCTGGAACTACAACTGAACCGTTGATTCTTAAAACCGTTCGACGCATGGACGATGTTCCTCTACGAGATCACGAAAAAAAGATCGGTCGCAAGAGTCTGGCAATGATCACTTCCTAATATGTTTCCTGCTCATTTCATGTACTCTTTGCAACTTCTTAATGGACATCGATTTCGACACCAAGATCAGGATAATCGGTCAGTTTCATTCTAATGACGATCAAGCAGTATACATTCTCTTATCCGCAGCGAGAATATCAACGAGTGTATTCGACTCGTCCGCGCGGACTGGAGTTGCGTGACGTTTATTCATGAGAAAGACTGAAAAATAATGGATAATGCCAAGTTCGCAGATGGCTCTCCTCCATCTGCACAATCTTCATGTACTCCGTTGGCATATTTTTTATTAAGGTGATGCCGATCTGTGCAAAGAGAATATTGACAATGAGATCGCTCTCCTTCCCGATTTACCACAGCTTCGATCCACTTCCTACTAACCATATCCTTTAAAATTGCACAATCCGCGCGCAAGTTCTAGTTGATCACGTCATTTGTATGATCATCATCGGTGTGTGAAATTGGCAACGGTATTCACCATGCATGCCTGCGATCAATTTTGGATACTCATTCTGAAAATGAAGGATCTTTCGAGCGGCAAAGAGAGGAAGAGTGCGAACAGCTAGCACGCACGACGAAAGGCTTGACAACATTGTGAAAGATCAAATCAGAATACTCAGGTAACATGGCCATTAATTTCAATATTAATTATTATACGGCTTGAAATTGCTACATACGAAGATGATTGTATCCACGAGAAATCACTTGCAATTTGTGAAAATTTGTTTTAAAAAAATCATAATCTTATTATTATAATAAACGATTAATAAAATATTAATAAAATGCACAAAAATTTTTGTAACTGGAGATTTTTACTTCAGTAATCTTGATAATTACATTATCATAAATATATCTCAAGAGACATATTATCTATCAAGACACATTTATAATAATTTTTAATGTAATTTATAATGCAATTACAATATTATTACAATATTATTGAAAAAATATGGTTTTTCTTTTAATTCAATCGCGTAACTCCAGTTTTATTATTCGTACTGAGGAGTTATTAAATGAGATATACTCGTGGGGTGTACGCTCAATATGTTTTTTGGAATTCAATATGATGGATAAAATGTATTTGCAAACAATATTTTAAATGACGTTGACAGCATAATACAATTATGTTTCATGCTTACAACATGTTGACGCTAGGCATTTTACGAATAAGAACATTGTAAAATATTAGGAATGATGACAATTCTATTCGCTACTCATATCCCTCACATTCAATATTTTTATCCTCAACTATATTGGCAAACTTCTTACCGGATAGAAATTTAAACTATAATAAAAATAAAGAGATTTTTAGCTTAAAAAAATGAATTGTAAAGTTGAGAAAATAAAATTTATATTAAGCTTTTTTGCTGTTACACTGACAATGTTTCAAATATAAAATATGATATTTGAAATGTTCTCAAAGTAACAGCAAGAAAAATTAATATAAATTTTATTTTCTCAATTTTACAATTTATTTTTTCAAGCTAAAAAAACTTTCTATTAAATTTAATTTTATGCAAAAAAAAATTAAATCTTTTTATAAGTGCTTTTTATAATGTAAATAATTGAATTGTTAAATGTGTTACTAGAAATTGTTTTCTATAAAGAACATTATCAAAATCTTTTTATAATAATGTATATAATGTATATAAATCGGCGTAAGATCTTATGATAAAATAATATCGATATCGAATAAGAGTGCGCTCGGTTTAACAGTAATAATAAACATTTCCAATACAGTCAAACTCACAGCCAGAAAATTTATCGATTTATCTTCGATCAGTTTTCATAGTGTGAGTAAAAATATCGAAAGCATTATTTTCATTTATTTATATACAAAAATTATTTTCAATAACTCATAAGAAATATAGACGCAATGGAAACAATTTTAAGATCGTCAAAGCAGCTATGGCTTATCTGAATTTACTATTAACGTTACGTAAATGGAATCGTTTTTGTATTATAGTAACATTAGCGTTAAAAAATATGTTTTTAAAAAATTAGATATATGCTGGCACATTCTTTAATAAATTATGTTACAGAAATTATCGTTCACATAAACGTAAGCTTGAAATAGAATTAAATTTATTACGAGATTATTATAGTATTATTGACGAGATTGAAATTGCAGATTAACTAATTATACTCTCAATAAATATACAGCTATGTTTAATACTGTGTTACGCAAAGTGAGTATAGCTAAGTCCTGCTCACTCATCTACTGACTGTGATACTTCCAACGTTACGTTACGCACTGTGGAAACGACGAGGATGCGTATACCCTCGCAACTATGTTAGAACTCGTGAACCTCACATCGTTACGCACTCGTCATCGACATGACCCTCGGACATGCAATGACTAGCAAAGGGGGACTAACCCCTCATGCGCGTTTTCCCCTTTGTCACACACATGACAGGCAACGGGACGTACCTGCACGCGATCACGGAATCATTTCCCCGCGCTTGCGTCGCCACGCGGACGTCGGGACGCTACCGTGTGCGTATGTGCTACAGTCGGCGTTGCACCCTGCGGACGACAGCATGCACGATCGATCCCGACTTCCAGGCGGCAGGATACAAAATGTACATTACGAACGCGACGTTCACTACGCCATGCAGCTGTGCCGATGGATCCTGAAGCCGATTGGTATCTGGCATCTGATTTACGGTCGCTCGTCGCAGAGCGAGAAGCTCCTCTCGTTGATGCTGATCCTCGTGTGCTTCTTCGGACTGTGCTTCGTGCTCGTACCCGCCGGTCCGTACACTCTGTTCCGCGAGAGGGACATTAACATGAAGGTCAAGCTCTTCGGGCCGGTCGGCTTCTGTCTGACTTCCGCGATCAAGTACTGCTTCCTCGGGGCGCGCGTCTCGGCGATCGCGAGATGCGTCGAGCACGTCGAGAGCGACTGGCGGGTCGTGCGACATCAGGATCATCGCAGGATGATGCTGAGGAACGCGCTGGTGGGTCGCCGACTGACGACGCTATGCGTGATCTTTCTCTACACCGGCGGCATGTCCTACCACACGATCATGCCGCTGTCCTCCAGGACGAAGACGAACGGCAGTTTCACGAGTAGACCGCTGGTTTATCCGGGCTACGATCTCTTTTGCGATCCGCAGGCAAGTCCCGCTTACGAGATCATCTTCGGCATGCACTGCCTGTCCGCTATGATACAGTATAGCGCCACGACGGCGGCGTGCAGCCTGGCCGCGGTCTTTGCCACGCACGCGTGCAGTCAGGTGCAGATACTGATGACACTTTTGGACGATCTGGTCGACGGGACGAGGACCAAAGGTACCACCGTGGAGAAACGTCTGAGCCTGATAGCGAGGCATCACGTGCGCGTACTGAGGTGAGGAACGGGGAGAGTGAAAGCGGGGAAAGTGGCGAAACAGTTTAACTATGACGCGTTTCTAGACTTATTTGGGGTAGATACATGGCGCGTTTCTAGATTTACCGCCGACGTGGAGAGAATATTACGTGAAATATGCTTGTTGGAACTGGTGGCCGCAACCTTGATTATATGCTTGCTCGAGTACTATTGCATGATGGTAAGGAAAGCTTGCGGTAGTAGACACGTGTCGCGATAACGTAATAGCTTTCCGCGTACAATAACTTATGCTCTTCGTAGTATAGCTGTTACATATTTGTTTAATATCGTAACGGAACAGAAAGGATCTGCCCTTTTCATTGACAAATTGTATAATAAATATCTAGTTGTACGTTTGTCTTCTCAGGAATGGGCGAATAGCGACGCCGTGGCCATCCTCACGTATTTTATTTTATTGATATCTTTAACGTTCAACATTCTCATATTTTGTTATATCGGCGAACTTCTCATGGAAGAGGTATTTTTTATTGGTATTGCTGATAATAAAAATTTTTTTTAGAGATGTACCTCCAATCTGAAAATCCGTAATATATGAATCCTGTTTTTGAATGGATAATAATAAACATGATACAGTCGTCATATTCAATTATTTATATTTTTCTTAGTATGGCAAAATCGGTGCGGCCGCGTATGATGTTAATTGGTATGATTTACCCGGTCATAAGGCTGTTGATCTTGTTATGATCATCGCGATGTCTCATTACCCACCCAAGCTTACAGCTGGCAAGTTCTGTGATTTATCTCTCAATACTTTCAGCACTGTAAGTTTCTAAACTAAATAACTATACTTTTAATTTAATTCTAATAATTTATAATTTTTTTATATATAATTTAATTATTATTATTACATAATTAATTCAATGTTTCTAAAATTTATCTTATTTTTAGGTACTTAAAACATCCGTAGTGTATTTAAATTTACTTCGGACAGTTACGCAATGAAACTCATATATTCCTTATTATTGTTTCTGGCAGCAAATTTATAGATATATATTTTTCCGCAAAAAATATTGTATAGAACTCAATAATAAATTAACATTAAAATATCACATTCATTAGCAATCACTCTATCAATAAATCTTAAATAGATAAAATAATAATTAACGAAATTAACTTATCCATTACGATTTGATTAACCGTGAGACAAAAAGTGTATTGTGTTTAAAAATTAAAATTTATTATATCAGAAAAAGACTAGAAAACTGCAATTGTATCATAAAACAATATATATATATATATATATATATATATATATATATATATATATATATATATATATATATATATAAAATGCTTACTTATATCATATGTAATACATGCAATGCACAGAAATCTCCAATGATGCATCGCACTTGGAAAGCTACCGAAGTTACGTACTGTGTGTGGAACTAAACTAGAACTCGTCGTGAACTTCCGATCCCTTCGCACTAGCACATCACTGAACGAGCCCTTGGGCAAGCAATGACCGGGGGGAAAAAGTCAATCGTCCGCGTACGCATGGTCGTATCTCGTCGTACGATAGGCATGAAACGCACATGCACGTGATCACTGGAATCATTATATATATCCCCGCGCTTGCGTCGCGGGGAAACGCGGAACGGTCGCGCAACGTCCGCGTGTTTCAGTCGTCGTTACACATCGCGAGCGACAGCATGCACAATCGATCCCGACTCACGGGAAGAATGCTCGAGGTGTACAACGTGCACCATGAGCCCGATACACGGTACACCATGCAGATGTGCCGCTGGATCCTGAAACCGATCGGCATGTGGCACCCGATCTACGGTCACCCGTCGCCGAGCGAGCGGCTCGTCTCGGCGGCGTTGATCCTCACGTGCTTCTCCGCTCTGTGCTTCGTTCTGATACCCGCCGGAATCTACACGCTGTTTCGCGAGAAAAACATCAACATCAAGGTCAAGCTCTTCGGTCCGGTCGGCTTCTGCCTGACCAACACGATCAAGTATTGTTACTACGGCGCGCGCGCCGCCGCGTTCGGACGGTGCATTCGACACGTCGAGGACGATTGGCGGGTGGTGCGGCAGCAGGATCATCGCGAGACGATGCTGAGGAACGTGCTGGTGGGACGCAGGATCACCACGCTGTGCGTGATCTTTCTCTACACCGGCGGACTATCCTACCACACGATCATACCGTTATCCTCCAGACAGAGAATCGACGAGAACTACACGATAAGACTGCACACCTATCCCGGCTACGATCTGTTCTTCGATCCCGTAGCCAGTCCGGCTTACGAGATCGTGTTCTGCGTCCACATCCTGTACACGCTCGTCACGTATAACATCACGGCGGCCGGGTGTTGCTTGGCGGCGATTTTCGTGACGCACGCGTGCGGACAGATACAAATACTGATGATGCTGCTGGACGACTTGGTCGAGGGAAAATGGAGCAAGGGCGTCACCGTGGAGGAACGTCTGAACGCAATAATAAGGCATCACGTGCGAGTACTGAGGTGAGTGAAAAATGCGCGAACGGGAATGCCCCGAAAGTAGATACACGCGGCGCGTGTGATTTTCTAGATTTTCGGACAGACACGTGACACGCTTCTAGATTTTCGGCCAACGTGGAGGAAGTGCTACGCGAAATATGCTTACTGGAAGTGGTGACTTCCACCTTGACCATATGCTTGCTCGAATACTATTGTCTAACGGTAAAGGAAACGCTACCGTGATATATCGACATCACGATAATACGATGTCTCACTTAAAGTTGTTTGCCAAACTCTTAGCTCGCCTGAACAATTTTGTCGAATTTTACGATGATACCATTTTACCTTCCCAGGAGTGGGAAAACAGTGATGCTGTGGCGATCTTGACATATTTTATTCTATTGATATCCTTCACATTTAACGTTTTGATATTCTGTTACATCGGTGAACTCCTCGTGGAACAGGTAATTTTTCACAATACTTTTAGATTATAAGAAAGTTTTTTCACGGATTTTTCTTTAACTATTATCACATTGGTCGATTTGATTCTGCATTACAGAAAATTGCAATAGAAAGGCGAGAAAGAATATAAGAATTTTAATTATCTATTTTTTTATATGTTTAAAAGTACTTTAGTAGTATGTTTAAAATGTACTTTATTTAATTATTAAGATGTGCAAAATCTCTCAGCAACATTAATTGTCCACGCGATGATTAAATGCAAACATGCACATGATCTTAAAATCTGTAATATACATATGATGGATTCTCGAAAATAATTAATTTTCTACTAATCTTGCACATTTTTTACAGTATAGTATAAATACATTTATACTAAAATTTTTGTATTTTCATCAGTGCA